TAAGGATTTTGATTCAACATCAATTAATAATAAAAGAAGAGCCTTATTACCAACATTGAATAAAAAAGGATATTAAGTTTTGAATATTTTAAATATGAAGAAATTCCGAGATGTACATATTATATTAAAAAATTGTGTTTCAGTGGATTCGAGTGGTATGTCGATTATCATCAAAACTCATAATCATTATTAAAGATAATAAATATAAACTTAAGTAATAAACTGTTAAGTAAAATATCAACATATCCCAGGAATGAAGCAACAAAAATTGTATTGTTAGTACTTGTATATTAGTATTTGTAAACATATAAAACTTGATGAGTATGTTATATTCAAAGCTAAGGAATTCAAAACTAAATAACTATTTTATCAGATTTTGTGTTGTTCGTCAAAATCGCTTTAAAATCGTTTTTAAGTTATATTAAGTATGGAAAAAAGTTCATGGCGTTTTTTTAATGCCATCTAAAAACGCCACGAATTTTTTCTTATACCTAATATATGCTATAACTATAGTCTTTGTTGTTTAATTCCTGAGATAATTCATGAGATATTTTATTATTCTCTTTTTCAGAAATGGAAAGTAATACATAAGTAACGACGTTATTTTTATAGTTACTTTATAATAATGGTTTGGTGATAAAAAATTATAACGTTATTATTAATCAAATTAATATTAAAAAAAAATAACAATAAAAATAACGATTTTTATACTTTTCATTAATAAATATCATAACGTGAGATTTAGTTTTGATAACAATTTATCTCATTTTCTCGAGTTTTTCCAAGATACACGTAAATCGTTACATTACTCCACTCCGTTTAAATTATCTTTTAATATGATATATATATTAATAATTGATTATATTATATAATTTGTATATTTCAAAACTTTTAACTAAGAAATTAAAAATACAATAATGCTTTCTTTGGGCCTTAATATTCTTCTTTTCTGCAAATATAATGATCATAAATATCTATTGTATGATATAGATATAGATATCATAGATATTTATGGATATCTATCTGATAATTACACACAAGTTAGTTTTGTATTGTACATCATGTATACATTATTAATACAATTTTGTTTGCATGTTAATCCTTCAGTGCGGACTATAATAATAACATACTTTGATATGATATACTCAATCCAATACGATTGCTTGTAACTTTCATGAAAATGAATATATTATAAAGAATATTTTTTTCAATCGAAACACTGGATATTAAGAAACATAACGTACTAAGCACATGTATTTTTGGAAAGAATTGGAAACGAAAAATCAGGTAAGTCATTATATACTCAACATAGAAAATACTTTAAAATATTCAAAATTTACAATTTTTGGATCACCAATAGTTGGTGAAGAATTATCATGGATAAAAAAAAAAATAAAAAAGCTTTTAGAGCTTGAAACATTTTGAACCTGACTTATAATTGCGTAGTTTGTAAGTAGTCATAGTTGTTAGTTGTTAATTTACTAATCACAGTCGGATATTCTCCTCATATTCAGTGTAATTGGCTAATTCTTACAACTACAACTTGGTTTACGCAATTGTAGAGCGAGATTAATATTTCTGCATTTAACAGTCTGCAGCACGATATAAAATTTTTTTTTTTAATTTAATACTTTTATAAAAGTATTAAATTTACAATGTTTTAACTACAAAACGAACTTTAAAAATTTTTTTAAAAAAAATTTTTCTTAGCCGAATTACGCAACTTTTGAAGCTAAATCTGCATTTCTTACCAACATTGAAATTCAGCAACAAATCATTGTAAAAATTCTTTATCTCCTCAATTTTGCAGAATTAAATTTATAAATAATCAAAAGCATATTAAAATACAAATTTCGAACTTCCAAATACTTTTTGCGATTTTTCGCCGATTTTTAAAATTTGATTGTAAGAAAAGCATAATTTAATTTTAAAGTCTAATAATTGATCGGTTAAGGAAAATCGTAAAAGAATTAAAAAAAATATATTTTGCAGATAAAACTTTGGACTTTTTTGTAAAAGCATTAAATTTTTTAGAAAAATGTTCTATCGAATTGAAGAACCAAAAATAATGTGCTATTTAAAGATACTGAACAGTAAAAATAAAAATTTTTTGGAAAAATAGACAAAAGCATACTAAAATAAAAGTTTCAAGCTCGAAAATGATTTTTAGTTTTTAAGAAATAAAGGCTAAATGGCCAAACTTGGATCTTTGATACTGAAACAATTCCATGTGTATATACACCACAATCCTTCAAACTGCGCACCGAATTTCTTTTCAGACTTGAAACGCACTTCTAATCAACAAATCTAGAGCAGTAATAAATTAAGTTGACATGCAATTTAATAATAATGATGCTCGTAAGTATATCTTTATAATAATTCTTAAGCAACTTAAAACTATAAATAGTTTTATTGCAAAAAATATTACCTTCACCGGGAATCGAACCTGGATGTCATGCATTACGTGCGTGATATTCTTTATTTCTTGTTGTGTTTCATATCGTGTTTAAAGTGATACTTTAATATTTTTTTTATTTTTTTGCTGTGATTTATTTATCTGATTTTTCATTAAGTTTCGATAATTTGAAAACTGTGCATTTTTGAGCATTTTGAGTATGTTCTTTATTGTTAAGTATGTGTGTACCAAGCAAACAACGTGTGTAAAGCAACGTGTATATAAAGCAACAACGAAGAATTAATAATTATCGATATATGTTACCTACTCAACATCGAATAATTGTTTACGTGCAATTTAATGTAAATTAAATGTATCAATTCAATCAATGTCAATAATAGTTTATAATAGGAGGGAATTAATAAATACTACGAGCCATGTACATATTTATACATTATTAATAGTAATCCTTTTTTTTATTTTTTATGTATTATAGTATACCTAAATTATCCAACAAATGATATCAAAATATTGTTAGTTCATTACCACAATATATATAGTAGCGCAACTTTCTCTTGCCAATTTTGATATTAGCGTTGGCCAAAATGGAGTGTGCATGCGTGAAATAAGTAAGTTACCTAGCGTTGCCATCTAAATTTCTTTCTCTTTCCATCCTTTTCTTACTCTAAAAAAATTCTTCGCAAAACTCACTAGATTCACATCGCAATCCAATGAATTCGTTGAAGTGAGTAAGTACTATTGTAGGAACATATTGGAGCATATTAGAGCATGCGACGCGAATAAACATAATATTGAAATGAAATAATTTAAACTTTATGAAAATTAATAAAAATAAATTGTAAATATTTTGGAAAAAATATAGAAAAATTAGGAAAAATGTTAAATTAATTAAAAAATGTATATTTGTATAAAAAAATTATGTAATTATATGAAAAGCTGTTGTCATTATGAGAAGTTGTTATAAAAGAAATTTATATATACATACGAATAAATACACATACAAATATGTATTAAAAAAATTAGTTTAAAATACAATAAATAAAAAGAAATCTTCCTTGTTCCGTTTTCTATGTTACTATTATTCACTTTTTCATTTTATCACTTTTTCATAAAAATTAGCCTAATCTCTAGAGATTTCTCACACAACATTTCACTAATGGACAATACACGTAATACTTCCCTCTAAATTTCTACTCTAAACTAAGTATACTTGAAAGACAAATGTTTAAGTGGAACATTGAAATGCCCGAACATTTAAATAGAGAGAGAGAGAGAGAGAGAGAGAGAGAGAGAGAGAGAGAGAGAGAGAGAGGGGGGGAGAGGGAGAGAGAGAGGGGGAGAGAGAGAGAGAGAGCGAGAGAGAGCAGTAAAGAAAGGAGAAAAAGAGCCAGGGCAATTTATTTATTACACGTATACACACTCCATTTTGGCTAACTTAAACTCAGGAGAGATGAGCTGTATATATACTATGCCATTACGTAATGAGAGATAATTAATATGATAAAATCTGTTGATCATAGAATGAAGACAAAAGGAAATAAATATACTGAGGCATTTAATCTTGAGATTTGATTTAAAGAACGTAGAAGACTTTCAAGTTTACCACAACAATGTCGAGTTGCTTCATTTTGCTGCTCCTTGCGTATTTTATTGTAATCGGCCTCGTGACAACTTCGAAACCATTGTCAATTTTATTAATAGATCCCGTTCCATCACTTAGCTATCATGTCTGGACGACGAATTTGATGAAAGGATTGCTTCGCAAAGGCCATCATGTACACGTAGTAAGCACACATGAGATTAAGATCAAAGATAAACTTGCGCAGAACTTGACGTACGATGGAAGTAATGTTATGGAACTTGAATATAAATTGATTATTTTAAATTTGTGAAACAAAGGCGAAAGAATGTAATCTTTATTTTATAAAATATTATTTTATATTGAACGTATCTCAAATCATTATTTGAGCCCCCAATATATTTTCATATTTCTATATATTTTTTTCATCAACAGTAAAGAATATTTATTATTTTCAGGTATTCGATAGTTTGATGAAAGTAATGGAAGAATCTGAAGATTTTAATCCGGTTGAATGGGAACAATATAGTGCACTATATATGATGTATTCTGCATATCAATGGGGAATTCATGCATGTGATGCAGTGGTAAAAACTAAAGCTGCGAAAAAGCTTTTGGAAATTTGGGATCAAGACTGTTGAGTTTGATATTATATTACAAGATATTACATTAAATAAATGTTTATTCAGATTGTGGGAAGTAAGGATAAAGCAATTTCTTAAATATTAGTCTTAATTTATTTTATTTATTTATTACAATAATTAGATTTAGCTATTTCCATTATCACTCTGTTATTGTTAGTTATTATTGGATATTGTTTTTCAGATTGCTAAAAGTAAACCACCCATAGTAGGATATATTCCATTTAGCCCTGCACCTTGGCTCAAAGATCTTATAGGAGGTCCAAGTTATCCAACTGTTCGACCTTATGCATATTTACCTATTGCGAAACCCATAGATTTATGGCAAAGAACATGGAATACTGTATGTTTTATTGTTGATGATTTCATACGACATTACTATTTCTTGCCTATTATGCAACGGCTTGCTGAGAAATACGTAGGTCATGCAATTAGACCATTACATGAAATAGAAAAAAACGGTATTGTACTACTCAATAGTCATCCTGCATGGAATTCCATTGTCTCCGAACATTTTGGAGATTGCAGGACTGAATGTTCAGGCCATAAAACCGATTGATGGCGAAATAGTCATAACATATCCCGAAGTAAGAGAAATTATATATATTATATTTACATCGAACAAAATAGCTAGTCTATATTTGCCGAGTAATCGAATGTAATTTGTCGGATTCATGGATAAGAAGCAATCATGTTTAACCGCTCGACAAGTAGATTAACTGAAGGCTAGTTAGTTACAAGTATAAACGTTTTACATGCATCTATTTTTCTTCTTTTTATAATTTAAAACTATAAAAATTGCAAAAAATACATATTAGCAAAAAATTATATATTCAGAAGAAATTTAATGAGATGGTCTCATTAAATTATTATTTATAGCATTTACTTTCGAATTTTTAGAATGATTCTTAGTAAATATACAAAGTTACATACAATGTACTTGTTAGTTGTAATTTCTCACTCAATATTATAACTGTAACATAACACATTACAGTTATTTTCGAAATATTAGTTAACCATTATTTAAAGGATATACGCGCATTCCTTGATGGAGCAAAAAATGGAGTTATCATAATATCGTTAGGAACAAATGTGAGATGGAAATTTATCGGATTAGACAAAATTAAGATTGTTTTATTAGCTCTATCGAAATTAGAACAACGAGTATTATGGAAGCTAGATATTGAAGTGCCATTTGAAATACCAGATAATCTGATGATTGTAAAATGGATGCCGCAAAGCGAAGTTTTATGTACGTTATAATTCTTAAAAAATATAAAAAAAACGTGATAATCAATATATATTGTCTCCATGATTAGACAATTTTTCTTTTATTAATGTATGAATTCTTTTTAATTAAGTTCATTTAATCTATTTTTATTCACAATTAAAATGTCTATAAAATTGTAAAAATTTTTTTTGTGATATTATTTTAAAAAATAGCATAGAATATAATTTATAATTGAGAAAATCATTAATTTTTATATATTACCGATGGGAATTGTTATTTTAATCATTTTAGTGTTTCAATATAGTTTTGCAGTACATTTGTAACAAAAATATTCATATATAACGCGAGAAATATATGAATATTTTAAATGGGTCTTGGATAATTAGTTATAGTAAAATTTTATTTTAATAATAAATATAGTATAACATAATAACCGAGTAAGTGAGAATGGATTAAAATGGATTGAAATTTTAATCTCTTTGTATCTATTTGAATGCGTACTTCAGTAGCATATGAATCATTCTTCCATTTATTTGGATATGATTGGATTAAAAAACTGCATTTCCTATTTCGAATTGAAAAATATTCTCACAAGACATAGAAAAAAGCTGATGTTATTTTCAGATTAAACGATATATAAATGTGCTTTATTCATATGCAATACCTATAAATGAATAAAATTTTATTTATTGTATTGCGATCAAAAAGGATTCATTTTAACGTTCTCGAAAGCGTATTCCTGAAAATTTGAATCCATTTCAATCTGTCAATTCGTTCTCGTTTACTGGGGAGATTTTGTTGCATTAATAAATTTACATGTCTTATTATTTCTACAATAATGTTTGAACAATGTGTAAACAATCTTTTTTTTAACAGTTTCTTGTTGACATTTATATAATCTTAGACTAGAAGATAATCTTAGTTTTTAAATATTACAATTATATTTTATAATCTTTTTATAATAACTGTTAGCATTTTTAAATAAAATTGGTTTTTCTAAAAATTATTTTTACAATAGATTTCAAAATTAGATTTAAAAATGCGTTGTATTTATATACCTAATAAAATGTTTATATGAATGATTCATTATAACAATTGAGATTTTTATTATAATGAATTTTTATATGCAGCTCATAAGAATGTCAGAGCAATTTGGACTCATGGTGGTCTTCTCAGTACACAGGAAGCCATTTGGAAAGGTGTACCAATGATTGTAATGCCTTTCTATGTAGACCAAAAATTCAATGCACAAAAATTAGTAGCTAAGGGTGTTGGAATATTCTTGGATATTAAAACATTGTCCACGCAGACTGTATTACATGCAGTTGAAGAAATACTTTACGATGAAAGGTATCAAATTTCGATTACGTTTTAATATCATAATTATTATAAACAATTATTATAACAGTAAATTAATATAACAGTAAATTAATATAAAATATAAAAAATAATATATAATATTCGAAGTAATGCTTAAATTAATATAAGATAGTAGAATTATAATTGATTAATTATAATTGATTTAAATGATTTAAACGCTCTTGTAAAGCTGATTAAATCTTGTTTTTCTATTTATATACTTTGTTATACTCAGTTTTACTTTTAATTAATCTCTTAATACCACATTATGGGAACAACATACTTAAGTGTAGCATATTCGACCTAATTCAATTGCTTACTAATATAACTTTCATAAAAACGAATATTGTTCCATCGAAACGTCAGATATACATATGATTCTGTATTACCAGCGTACGTGCTACCACAGGCATGTGAGAGAAGTCGGCCAACGAGCAATAGAACTGAAATGATGAAATTATATTAACACAATTTATTGTGTACTGATAATTTGAAATTTCTACCAATCATCCGCTGTATTTTTACATGTTGTTCTGCTTCCTCTCTTTGTAAACTTCTTCTAACGAAGTTTAAATCAAGTGTCATGCCAACGTATTTCGCAAAATTAGAGTATGAAATTATTTGGTGATTGTAATTGGCAAGATGATCGAGTCATCTTTTTTAGAGTAAAATTTTGCATCGTGATTTACTTTCATTACGCTTGATGTTCCAAGTAACAAAGTGACGTTTTAATAACGTTGTATTGGCTGTATTCAATAGAAAGGGATTAGTTCGGCAATTCTTTAATATGATTGATTCTTGTTTCATTTTTTCGCTGGATCTGAGTGTATATAAGAGTGTAATATAAGACATTAAAAAATTAATGATCGCTTTTTAATTAGTTATTCTGCTGAACATATCCATTGATATTAAAGATATCATATGACGTCACCTTGCTATACTTTTGAAGAACTTTTATTAGTAAAAAAATTAAAAGAATGAAGTTAATTGTAAAAGTAAGCAGTGAAAAACATTAAATAAGTTGAAAAAGTTAGATATGCTCATACGGAATTTAAAAGGTAAGATATACGATTATATTAATAGTAATACATATTTGTTGCAGATATACAAGAAACATGAAAAAATTATTTAGTGAATTCCGAGATCGACCAATACCACCGTTAGATTTAGTTATTTGGGGTATTGAATATGCAGTCCGACATCCAAATGGGACTTTAGCAACCCCACTTAGATATCAAAGCTGGATGGAACAAAATCTAATTGATGTTTATGCATTTTTATTGCTTAATTTTACTATAATATTGTTAAGTATATTCTTAATAATAAAAGTATTTATTAAGTTTTATTATCGGATATATACCACATTTAACAATAAATTACATAAAAGGAAACAGGCTTGAAAGAGAATGAAAAAGAAATAGAGTTATTGGTAAATATCAACAGACACTGCATATATCTATATTATACTTACTTCAATTAATGTTAATCTTACTGTAATATTATTGCATTAATATTAATTAATATTAATGTTATTCCAAAAAAGTAAAATTAATGTACAACTATAAAAATATAATAATATTTTTGAGGCTTCCATGAGTGCTTTCTACACAAAGATTATGCGTTTTGCGAATATCAGGCTGCTTTTCGCCCTGATGAAATGGGCTGCAGGTTCATGAAACGTTGGCATTTCAAGAATGGGTCTAGACATGGAGGAAAACCCACGAAACGCATAATCCTTATAAAAATATAATATTAATCGTATAAATATTGTTATTAATTGTGAAAATAAATGAATGTAATAATAAATATTAGTTGTTAAGATATTATATAAAATATCTTAAGAATTTTTAAAAACTGTGTAGTTAATAAAAATTACATTAAACTTAATAAAAGAGTTTTCCATTAATTTATTGGATTACTTTTTAAAATTGCGTATCACATAATGACGTTTCCATTTTGTTATCGTAATCAGTCTTAAGTATTATATTTAATAAGAATGAGTAATGTAATGAGTAATGTAATGAGGAATAACTACATTCTCCTTATCTGCACATACCAAGAGTATTTGCTTGCTATTATCCGATAAATGATTAGTATGAAAAATCCATTTTTTTCAGTACGATATTTAAACTTATTTTTTGTGTCTTTATGCCATAAATTAGGTTCAATCATTGAATTAATTATGGGAATTGAGAGATATAATCAGGATTGGCAATGTTACCTCGTAAAAATAATTCGTTACCGTTACCGTTCTTTTTGCTAAAAAATAACGAATCGTTATTTTTTCTTTTTTTTTTTAACACTAACAGAATATATACAAATTATATACAGATTCTTGCGGTAAATGTAAAAATGATGGCAAAATTCTATTCCTTTTTTTTAGACAAATTGAATTCAAAAAATATATGCCTATAGTAAATATTGTTCGTTATTTTCATGAATGAAAAAATACTGTCAAATCACATAATGTATACTGCATTGTTTGTAATTTTTATACTTAAATAAATTTATTTTTTGTATTAATTGTAATAAGATATCTTTAAATCATATAATTAAACTCCTAATATATATTTTAACATCTTTAAAAATTTATGAAGTTGTAAAAATTTAAAAAGGAGGAAAGGATAGAAAGAATTATTTAGTCAGATGTATTCTGAAAGATAGAAACAAGATACGAATGACTCATCGTGAATACTCTAAGGATAAAATGATATTATAATAAAAAAAATAGTATTGTTTGTAATCTACATTATAATCATATGTAATTTGTAAAATATGACACAGAAAAAATTTTATTTTAAGAAATTAAATATATTGTAAAGGTTATATCTGAGTTAATCTATACGTGTAAACTGTAAATACAATGAAAAAAAGATATGATCGATGATTTAGACAGCCAATCCAATTGTTAATGTTTTATCTCTGTTTTCTAGGATTATAATTACACATGACTAATTAGAAATAAAGTAATGATAAAAGTAACTAGTAAAATTGTTACTATTACCCCAAAAACGTAATTGCGTTATCATTATTTAGAAGAAAATGTAACGTCGTTCGTTACCTATTCGAAAAAAGTTAACTTGTAACGATAATGACATTACAAATAACACGTTATTTGTAAGGCGTTATATATATTCAACCCTGGATATAATCAACGTGATATATGTTTACGTGTTATTTAATTTGTAATATACTTATAATGTTGAGCGAGGCCTTGCTCCCATGCAAAGTCTCGGCTTCGTAATACTCGTAATGCTATGTCGCTCTGTAACGCAGTGTCGTCTTAATGCTTCTGGTGTCACCCGCGGAGAGTACTAAATTTTATAGAATTCGTGGCCGATCGCGGCCAATCGTCGTGATTGTTTAGACGCGAAATTCTCTGATTGGCTGTTAGTTTTTCAGACGACAGACCTGTCGTTACTCGTCTCAGCGATAATGCAGCGCCAAACGCGGCTATCCTTTTTTTGGTCGTTCCGATTTAAATAATGAATATATGTGTGCGTATGTGTAGTGGGATCCACTGTCGTGATCGCGACACGCTACAAATTGATAAGATTTTGTTACTGTCGCATCCCATTTTCCATGAAAAAAAATTTTCGATTAATCATTAATACAACATACTACTTATTAATAGATGCTCCTTAGGTTTAATTTTTAATCTTTAAACAAAGATTACACATTAAGTTTAAATAACTTAGCAGTAAAGAAACAGAGAAAGAGATATACACAGAAAGAATACTCCTAACATTTAGATAACTCTGTACTATTTCCTATATGCTTTAAATATCGGAAAATTTCAAAAGATTTTGTAAAAAATAATCGAGTACATTTAATCTATATAGAATTTAATAAATTAAATTCTTTTATAAAAGAGCATTAAAAGGATTAATTACCTTCACTAATACATTCCAATATCGTTTAGAATTGTGATACATCGTATATACAGTTTGAAAATAATCGCCAAATATTTCATGGGCAGGTAGAACGGACTAAACTGAGTCGAAAAGTCCTCTACTATTTTATAAGTTTCTCCAATAGTTAACAAGATATTAATCCTTAAAGATAGCCGAATACTACTGCGAAGGTTCTGCGATTTCACTGAAATTTATTTTTCATAAGATTTGTGCGGGGTTCTTGTATTAATTAGAATTGTGGGGTCAAGACGCCTTTAATGCTCCCAATGGAAACAATAATTAAAGAAAAGTTAAGAAATTTTAAAAGATCAAGTAATATTATGGACTATGAGTCACATCTAAAAACTTTTACTTTAAAATAAAAGAACTTAAAATAAAAGCTAATAAGTCGATATAATCGCGATGATCACTGTTACGATATTTGCCACCATGCAATATTATGATATAACTTGTCGATAAATGCATAATAATATGTAGATTAGCAATAATAGTGAAGAAGGATAGTAAACGAAGTAAAAAAGCTTCATACGATCCAGATATACAGGTAGGAGAAATATGGTCTAGGATGTCCAATAGGATATTCGAACGAATACAAACTGCAGAATGAGTCGATGATCAGTAATAGTGCCAATGTTTGTAGCGTCTTTGTCATAATTTTCAAGTCGACAAGTAATTTAAAGTAATTCTTGCAGCACGAGACACAAGCGTGTTAATAACTTTAAGAATTTCAGAAATAGTTCTTGCAGATTTTCTAGAAACTTTGTAAGAATTACTGTAAGATGCTTGATATGTTGGATGAAGTATACACATCAACTAACAAGTAGTGAGTGACAGAATAAACACACATATGATTTAGATTAGATTGCTTATTCCTCGAAAAATTTTTTTATATGTATATATTATTACAGAGCATAAACGTCTATAAACGTAATTATTCTTGCAATTATGTTTTTATACTCGTTTGGTTCCAAGGTTTTTAATGGATGGTTTTTATTTATGACATTTTAACGACATATCGACTTGAATTTAAGTTAACTTCAATGTGTTTTATGTAGTATATGGAAATTAATGTGCACAATATAATGTTTTTTATAAATTAAAGGAACGTAAAATTATTCTTATAGTTTATCAAAAATTATCCATAATTAAGAATATTTATTATTCATTTATTAAGAATTCTAATCATCCATTTATCTTTACCAGAATTTGATTTAAGTTAATTTGCCCTTTGTCTTGTAATACATTGTTAAAATTTAGCTTTTAATATATTGAATGAAAAACAAGAATGACACAGATAGTGAATTATATAGATTTGGATTATGGAAAAGAAGCGTATGTATAATATTATATTACTTTATTATTATAGAAGAACGGGATTGTCATTCAAAATTAATTGTAAAAAAGCTAATAATTTAATTAGTATGTAACAAAACATTTTTTGTTCTTTTGACTCTACATTTTTTTCTAATATTAAATTAATATATAATAATAAGATTGTTGTGTAATATCGTTTGTGACAAGCGTTGCGGATATTATTTACAATAATTTTTAAGAAAGTAAAGTTGGAGTTAATTTTTGTTATCTCTTTTTTGCGTTTTTTTATTAGCATCATTAATCGCGATTTACATGGAAAATATTATTATTTCTCAAACAATTTTTAGTATAGTTAGTTAATCATTATTGTAACAAAAGGGAGGATGTCAATAAGACCGTTTTTTGAACTACGTCAGAATCACTTCAAACTGTGCTACTATTTTATTCCTTTCAATGAAACTCACAACTCACTAAAACCGCTTGTCCAAGCCATTTTTATCCAAGCAATTAGGTGTTGAGAATGAAGCACTCTTACATTCCAGATTTTCATGGAAAATCACGCATAGCTATAGTATCTGCTTCATTTTACCCTATTATCAATGAGCTATCATCATCATACTTTCTTAAAAACTACTCGTATATATAGTGCATAAAATATGTCAAAGCTGTTATTTAATTTCCCTTTGCCATTACATTGAAATCTGTATTATTAATCAGTACATTTTATTTTGACCAAATATGTATACAATAATGTTGCTTATAAAAAATTGAACGATGAAACTATAGTTTAAAGTTGATTTAGAGAATTCTGGACATTTAGAAAATGTGATAAATATTAGGAAAGAGCTACTTCTTACATTCTGTGTGCTTGTAAAACTTAAAAAATTGGCAGATTTTTAAATCGGTTCCATCTTATTTAATCAGATACGTTTTTAAATCGGTTCCATACTATACTACTACTATATAGTAGTGCTGTAGTGCAGTAATGTCTCAAAATACTCCTCAGTAGCACTTTTCTACAAGGGGGACTGTGATTATATCGAAATATATGGCGCTTTATGAAATAGATATTTATAAATAAAAAAATGTATTGCTTTCTAGATATATTTTTCAAAATTTCAAAGTTTCCTTTATAAAATCTGAATATCACAATGACAAAAATAAATAAAATT